CGCCTGGCAGCTCCGACATTTATACTATGTTAAATGAATCTTATCATTGCATTGAATAGTAATTGGGTGCATTTAGCGTGCCATGGTTCTCAGAGACAGGACGAACCGACGAAGAGCGGTCTTATTCTCGAGGATGGTCACCTGACCCTCGAGGAGATCATCAAACTCGACCTTCCGAACGCAGAGTTCGCATTCCTGTCGGCATGTCAGACGACGACTGGAGAAGAGAAACTGTCGGACGAAGCGGTGCATATTGCGGGAGGAATGCTACTCGCTGGTTATAAAAGTGTGGTCGCCACGATGTGGTCCATTCAAGATGACCTAGCACCAGAGGTAGCGGACGAGTTCTATAGACATGTGATGGCGGATAGTGGACGACCAGACAGCAGGAAGGCAGCAGAGGCGCTTCACTATTCGATTCAACGGCTTCGCAAGAAGAAGGGAATTGCACTTACGTCGTGGATTCCGTTTGTTCACCTCGGAGTGTAGCTATCAAGACGTATAGGTGAGTGCATACTATTTTATTCTGTGATTTCGTCTGATTTCCGAACGCCAGCAGAGGTGTTCTATTCGATCGAGTTACGGTATCGAGAATCCTGAGAATTCGGTATTGGAGATGATTAGATAATGTTCATCTGTATCCTCTGTAAAGATTCCATCTGACAATGAGAGGCCCTAATTAGGCTCAGTTCGCATCTGTAGGCAATCACACAATACTAGCGTTTGTATACCAATGAGCATCCAACTTCCAATTCAATGCAATGATAAGATTCATTTAACATAGTATAAATGTCGGAGCTGCCAGGCGCAAGAATATCGTTTCCTTTACCATCCGGTTGTCTACCGACCCAGAGCGTAATATGTATTCAGTATTGATCTGGTAAAATGGTATGTATTTGTATATTGCACGTGTAGTACGGATAGTATTACTGTGGCTCGGTTTGTGAGGGATAATGAAGATGGTAACGGCGGAGAGCGTCGGTGGGGCTAGGCTCAATTCCGGGTCTGCCACGGAGCAGCCTCTTTTATTCGACCAGGACCACCGCCTTGACCTCTCTACACTACCACTTTATGAACTTCTGAATATAACCAGAAAATTATCCTCTTCGATTTTGAGGAATCTATCAATCAGCCGGAGACACCGAGAACAGCATGCGTGACATTGTGTTATCCATAACGACCTGGAGAGTCCCAACTATAGCGTCGGTTCGAGAATCCCAGCTGGGCAGTGAAGCATAAATTGATCCATTCTCGTTCTGTGATCACATTAATTAATTGGGAACGCCTGGCGAGGTACGGTGGCCGTTATATATTCTACACATCACGGTCTAATCCCATTTAAAGTCTCTTTCCTCTCTGTCGTGATCCAGCATTCCTTCTCACAGTATCCCACACCGATGTGCGTCCATTCCCAAAAGCTTGCGCACCTACTAATGTCCTTTATAGCATGTTATTTATGGAAGGTAACGAATCAAAATCCCATGCCATGGTACACAAATTGATGTCTTTCGTTCAGACATAACCTTTGAATTGGCTAGTCAAGACGACTGCTTTCTGGCCGATATCATACATTTAGTGTTGGAGCTCACTCAAAATGGAGTGGTGGTAGACAAGGTGAACTTGGTATCGCGCGAGTCAAGGCCGGGAGCATGGGATGGGGATGAGCCCCTGATCTTGTACGTGCTTTGATATCAAACCAGGCGACGGTGAAGATAACTCACTTCATAAGCTAGAGAGGAGATCAGTGGAGAATCGATGTTATCGGTATGGGTGCAGCTGGATGAACATGACCGTCAACTGGTCGGGTCCATCGAGCTCAATGGAACCGAACTCGTTGATATGGTCGGGAAGCAATTCGGTATGTGGTCCATCCCAAGTGAATATGGAGTCTGTGACACTGTATGACAGGAACACCGTTACTATCAAATGAGGATTACCCAGAGATGATTCTCCGAACGAAGTTATCGACGATTTGGTCTGTTCCGGAGAGCGTTCGAGAGTTACTCTTGAAAGATTTTGGACGACAATCAAGTGGAACAGGTGAAGACAGTCCAGTGGAGACCATCCTTTCGGAAGGAGATGCCGCATGGGACGGGTTTAAAAGGCACGGAAAGATGAAACATCTGGAGGAGGCGCTTTCGAAATATAAGGCGGTCGCTGAAGCGACTCCGGAAGGCCACCCAAGATTGCCCCACATCCTAAGCAGTCTAGGCATTGTTCTCATTCGTCGATTCGAACGACTTGGAGAACTAGCGGACATCAACGACTCGATTGAGAGACTTGAGAAAGCAGTTTCTCTAACACCAGACGACGATGGTGCCAACCTGGGGTATCTAGGAAATCTTAGCGTCGCTCTTTTGAGGCGATTTGAGCGAATTGGGGACGCCGTTGATATAGACGGTGCAATCAAACAACAGGAAACAACAGTTCTGCTCACTCCTGATGAACATCACCACAAACCTGGTCTGTTAAACAACCTCGGAAATTCGCTTATGCTGCGGTTCTTACGGTTCGGAAATACAAGTGACATGGATGTTGCACTGGACTATTTACAAGCGGCCGTGCTGCTGACTCCTGACGCGCATCCTACCAAACCTAGTCTTTTAAACAACCTCGGCAATTCCCTTATGACGCGGTTCGAGCGGTTTGGGACTGCGGGAGATATTGATAGTGCTATCGACCACCAACAAACAGCAGCTCTGCTCGCTCCTGATGACCATCCCGACAAACCTGATCTTTTGAGCAACCTCGGACTCTCATTGATGGCGAGATTTGAACGGTTTGGAAATACGAGCGATCTCCATGGTGCGATCGACCACCACCACGCAGCGGTCCTACTCACTCCTGATGACCACCCCGAAAAACCCATTCGATTAAACAGCCTCGGAAGCTCACTTGTGAGACGTTTCGAACGGTTCAGAAATATGAACGACCTTGATGGGGCAATCAACCACTACCAAGCAGTTATCCGGCTCATTCCTGATGGCCATCCCAAGAGACCAGGTCTTCTAAGCAACCTCGGAATCTCACTTATGATACGGTTCGGATGTTCTGAAAATACGAGCGATATTGATGGTGCAATCGATCACCTTCAAGCGGCCGTTCTGCTCGCTCCGGATGCCCATCCTGAAAAACCTGCACTCCTGAACAACCTTGGAAAAGGTTTCCACGCCCGCTTTCGTCATTTCAGAAATGTTCCGGATATCGATAGCGCGATTATGCACCAACGCCAGGCTGTTAATTTCTCTGCAGATGGCCTCCCTCAAAAGACAGTCAGTTTTGAAAACCTTGGAGATGCATTCGTGGACCGTTTCATCCATCTATCTGATTATAAAGATGCGATAATGGCCATATCATCCTTATCTGCATCTGCACAATCCGACACAGGTTCTCCGACCGATCGCTTCAGCGCTGTCAAAACATGGATTAAGATCGCGTCCTTGATCGGCCACGAGTCCTTGCTATCGGCTTATGAGCGTGCATTATCTCTCATGCCACTTGTAGCTTGGCTAGGTCTCCCCATAACAGATCGACATCAGCATCTTGTCCAGATGGGTGGTCTAGCTCGAGACGCGGCTGCCACTGCCATCTCGTTTGACCAATACAACAAAGCTATAGAGTGGTTGGAGCAGGGTCGGTCGATTGTGTGGAACCAAATTCTTCAGCTACGAACTCCGGTCGATGAACTACGTAGTGTCGATCCGAATCTTGCAGATCGCCTCATAAATGTATCTCGACTACTCGACCGTGGAGAGGAACAAGGTGGAAGTACAAGATCTTTAGAAGAGGAAGGACGGCGGTATCGAGCATTGACGATGGAATGGGAATCCATCATCGAACAAGTTCGGGCCCTCCCACATTTCGAAGATTTCCTAAAGTCACCCCAAGTATCTCGACTGATGGATGCCGCTAGAGAAGGTCCGGTTGTGGTAGTCAATATATCCGAGAAACGGTGTGACGCTCTCGCGCTTGTTCCTGGATTCGAAGAAGTGATTCATATTCCACTATCAGATATCACATATAGCGGAGTAACAAAGCTATCCGAGGAGTTGAAAGATATCTTATACTCGAGTGGGATGCGCATGAGAGGGGGACGGGCTGCGAGAAGGGTAGAGGACGAAGTTGACGACAGCGAGACAATTCTAGCCGAGCTTTGGAACGGGGTGGTAAAACCAGTATTGGATGGCTTGGCATTTTCGGTGAGATATGTTTCATGTCTGATGCCTCATTTGCTGATGGTGCCGCTTAGCCCGACCCGAATGTGCTTCCACGGATTTGGTGGTGTCCGACTGGCCCTCTCGCTTTCCTTCCGATACATGCAGCAGGTATATATAACGCAGGGACATCTGGCTTTCAGATTAGCGATTATGCCATCTCGTCCTACACTCCTACATTATCTGCTTTACTAGAGCAGTCTAATCGAACTTTGGACTCGTCCTTCAAATTGCTATCCGTCATCCAGCCATCAGCACCCGGCGTCTCGCGCATTCCCAACACAGTAGAGGAGCTCAAATGTATTGAACGCCGTGTCGTCGGTCGGGAACATGAGATTCTCAAGGGCTGTCAAGGGATCAAGAGTAGAGTGATACGAGGAATGGAGGAGAGTAACTGGGTGCATCTGGCATGTCATGGACTACAGAAACAGGACGAGCCGACAAAGAGTGGTCTTATTCTCGAAGATGGCCACCTGACTCTCGAGGAAATAATCAAACTGGAACTTCCGAAAGCCGAAATGGCATTCTTGTCGGCTTGTCAGACAACGACTGGGGAAGAAAAACTATCGGACGAAGCGGTGCATATTGCAGGAGGAATGCTACTCGCTGGTTATAAGGGGCTGGTGGCGACAATGTGGTCTATTCAAGATGATTTAGCACCAGAAATAGCGGACGAGTTCTATCGACATATCATGGCGGATAAAGGTAGACCTGATAGCAGGAAGGCTGCAGAGGCACTACACTATTCGATTCAACGGCTTCGCAAGAAGCGGAAAGTTCCACTTACGTCGTGGATTCCGTTTGTGCATCTTGGGGTATAGATATCGAACCGTATAAGTGGGCATGGACTAGTTTTTTCCGTCCTTGCTTCTGATTTCTGAGCGTTGGCAGAAGTATGCCATTCAACTTAGCTATAGTGTCGTGGAGTCGGAGAGCTAGACTCAAATGTAGGACATGTATATATCACACATCTATCTGTATCTTTTATAGAGATTCTATCCGATAATGATAGGTCCTAGACTGGGTTCGCGTCTGTAGACTATAACGCAGTCGTAAAGTCTCCTTACCAATCAACCAGTCCAGTATCGAATTCGGTATAATAATGACCATTTCATACAATGTCAATGTTGATCACATAAGCCAACAAGGAAAGTACACAAGTTAGTAACTGACACTTTGGCCCCTAGAGATCATTCGACCCAGTGTCCCATGATGCTGCGCACTTGAAGCTTACCAGCATTGGAAAGGCTCATTCCAGCTGCCGTAGTTATTTCCTTCAGCTTCTCTGTCGACGCGGGTCCCTTGTCCCCACTGCAAAGACGTCGGTCAACGATATAGATTTGTGGAATAGGAGAGGGGAACGGGTAGAGGATCAAGGGCTATTGATAATCGCAAGTTGGTTTGCCTGCGCTTACGAGGTTTGAGAGCTCGCGATTGTCCCCTGACTTGACCTCCATAGGAGCGACAACAGCAGCCGATTTTTGGTAGACCATGGTTCCGAGACGAGATTCAGACTATTGAGTGTATAAGAATAGGTAGTTTACGTAGTTTGGACTCGAATACTTGCCTTGACAACGACGTGTGGAACACCAGTCTTTCCGCACAGAACGGGCAAGATTACGAGCTCGATGGGATCGACGTTATGAGTGATATCGACGAAAGTAGTCTTTGCCTCGACGAAGGAGATGACACTGTTGTCTATATTTGCCCGTGCAGACCTCCTTATTCTCCTCCTTTCCCCTTGAGACGGATCCTCTTCTCTGTCTCGACCTCAGAGCTGGACAGGAACGTTAGAATGAGCATATTGGCGGTG